ATTATAATATTGGCATTAGTATAAACAACAGAGTGATTTATATTATCATTATAAAGTGCACCCATGAATTTGTTTACGGAAAGCTATTTGTTTAGCGAAATTATGTACCAAACTGTAACTGTTACTTCAAAATTAGGAATAATTTATCAGAAAAGAGCGATTAAAGGAAAGATAATAGAGATGCAGTAAGACCTTGATTATGCAAACTGGTAAAAAGAAAGGTCATTATTTATCATATAGAGGGTATCAGCTAACTTGATCACCTCGAATAATGACTTAACGGTACACTTTATGAAAATTTTGAGGCGTGGAACTTATATGGCATCAAGGGGCACATCTTACAAGATACGTCCTTTTTTTGTGGGTGGAGGCATTTCAGAGATTTCAAGGTCACCATTTTTTAAAAATGTGTTCACCTTCATACATCCTAAACCTAATAGTTAACGAAATATTTACAAAACTGCACTGTACTGTATTGAAATCGCTGTATCATCGGTTGAGGGGGGATCGCTGGGCATCGGTATGAGCACCTATAACTTTCAGATAGTAAGTACGTATAAAAAAATATTTTGTAAGTATCCCGTTAACTATTAAGGTTTACTTTTTTTACTTTATTTTGATACTCTATCGATTTATGGTACAAAAAATAGGTTATTCTGTTAAAAATAATCAAGGTGATCTCGAAATCTCTAAAATGCTTCCACCCACAAAGAAAGCACGTACCTTATAAGATGTACACTTTGATGCCATTTAAGTTTCACGCCTCAGAATTTTCATAAAGTGTACCGTTAAGTCATTATTCGAGGTGATCAAGTTAGCTGAGACACCCTGTATAATATTCACGTGTGTATACATTGTTAACAAAAATACATTTGAAACGTGTTCCTGCCGTGCATAGAACGTTCAGTAATAGAACGCTGGATTGAACGGCATTCGGATAAACAGTGATTCGATAATCGAGGTTCTACTGTATACCGACGAGCAAACTCGGCTACCGCTAGGGGAAAAAGTGACGTAGGTGAAGGGCCTCCTACTATGCTCCTTCCTCTGGGTATTTGGAATTACTGAAATTTATGGCAAATTAACATTCGATTTAACATTAATTTCAGTATCTGGAATAAATTCACCAAGTGGTAGGAGACTTTTATTTCACTAGGGGAAAAAGTAACGTAGAGAAAGGGCCTCCTACCATTTGGTATTTGGAATTACTGAAATGTATGCCAAATTTAACATTCTATTTAACATTTCTTTCACTACCTGTAATAAATTTGCCACGTGGTAGAGAAATTTTCTTCTACGCCGCTTTTTCACCTAGTGGAAGCCGAGTTTGCTCGTGAGTGTACATAAACAAGAATTGCATACAAATTTATGATTATTACAACTATGATTTTAAAGGTACATGAAAAAATTGTGTAAGTCACTATATCTGTATGAATATTATAATAAATTATAGTTTAACCAATGCGTCCGAACAACATAAAATCCCCTGTGTATTCACATCAAACCCACGAGCTTCTCACATTAGCGTTAAAATGTCAGTAATAAAATCTTGTAATTTAGGTTCCGCAGAACTTTCGGCTTACACTATATCCAGCGCTTTTCCACATCCAGTTCGTATGATCCGTTTAATTGTCGAACTGGTTCCGGCTCGTAAAGAGGGCTAAAACCGTTCTGCAGGTTAAATATAATTAACTGCTCAGTTACGCTTTCGCCTTGGAACAGTTCACACCCTTTATCAGACGAAGGACGTATCACAAGGCGGCTTTATGCGGGAGACGAGCAGCAAACTAGGAAACGGCGCGCGGCGAACGAAGGGGAAACGCGAACAGGAAGATGCAAATAATATCGTTTCGCGCTGCTTCCGCGCCAGCCTATCCTCTCTGTTTGTTCGTTGGAATTTCCCCGCTTGAACGAACACGTCTGCCTCCTGGTATACAGTTTGGCGATGAGAGGACTGTGAGGGGCGCGGGAGGAGGGAACAATTACGGGGGTATCACTACACGTGGAGAATTTTTCCTTGTATCCGGTTATCCGAGAACACTCGAGCGAAAGGGCTGTGCTTTAAAAACATTGCAATTAAAAGTTTACTTCGTTGCCGGTAAGTTCCGAGCCGTCTGAAACGTCCACAAACGCGGCCAAGGTATGCCATGATAGATATTGATTTATTAAGCTGGTACATTAGTAACTCCGTTTTTCGTCATTATTTTCGTTCATTAATGTTCGCAAGCATGGAATTACCGTTGAATGCTCGATCTCTGACCGTCTTAAAAGTTTATAAGACGATTAGTTTGGGTTTTATGGCCAATGTTGTACAGGGTATTGAGCTATAGATGTCAGAGATTTTAAGGGGTTATTCTACGTGTCAATATAAGGCGAAAACTGAAATGACAAAATTGTGTTGGAAGCTGCGTTTTTAAGTTAGCAACAGATACACATTAAGGACAGAAACTAGGTAATACACGTACAGGCGTTAAACGTATGATACGGCAGTACGTACCCTAACTTCGCCTGCAAAATATACACTTTTACCTCGTAGCCAAAAAAGTGATGTGTAATACCTGCACTCGAGACTGGAGTATCTTCTTCTTGGGACAGTTCATAAAAGAGCACACACGAATCGTTGCAAAACATTAAACCTAGTTCAAATCCACAAGGGAGAACACAACACATACGCAGAATAAACACTTACTAATATAACGTAAATTAAACTCACTGTAATAAATAAATTGAATGAATACCATAAAAAAAAGAAAGGGCTGTTTCACACCGGCTAGATGTGTTCACGTTGACGACTGTCCCCGATCTAAAGAAGCATTACTCGAATCTCACGCAAAGGACAGAAAAGTAATAAAAATATGTAGTCGTATCCGTTCTTCGGCAGGGTCGCCAATGCTTGCAAGTGAGTCGTAGATGTTAGGATTGTACACACACAAAGAGAAAGGTACTCACCACATTTTTTTTCAGCAATGTCAATGTGCCGTGAGTGACATATTCGACGTTTACCGTTTGTACATAGATTTCCTCGTGCCAGGCGTTTCTGTCCCTAATTTTATATTTAAAAATGACTTGAAAACGAAGTCTCCTACACAACTTCGTCAATCCTGATTGTCGTTTTATTTCCACATGTAGAATCACCTCATAAAGTTTCTGACACCATTAGCCGAACACCGTGTATATTTCTTACCATTAATCCGAATATTGCCTGTTATTAACAACGAAATCACCACTTTTGTGTGTTTTAAAGCAGTTTTTGCATTGTTCGAAATAAAGTATCCTCACTGTAGTTTTTGCAAAGAATTCTGCAGCTGACTCCCTTTGGTGGAGCAAGAGAACATTATAACCCCGGAAAAGTATAACTTATAATTCTTCATATTTATTTCCGTAACCAAAAACACATTATATTCATTTGTGTAAATGAATTTTATCAAACTGTTGACGAAAATAATTAATATAATGTAGTATAAGTTTCTTAATATTCAACTTTTATTGGATTTAAAACCTTTGAGACGTAACTGAAATTACTTATGCACCAGCTTAATATCTCATCGGTTTTCCGGAAAGTATCCCACGGAATTGAATTTATTAAGAGATTGTGGGAGGTTTGTTCTAATGAATGGAGCGTGTGCGCATACAAAGGTATGATTAAACGAACGAGTACGTTTATCTCTGAAAGCGAACTGTTTTCGTTCAAATACGCCGAGTACCTCGTTGGTTGTTCATAGGTATTAAAATAGGTATGCGAGGAACGATTAATGCGGGCGAAGAATATCGAGGTAGAAGAGGAAATGAACTGTTATACCATGTGAGTTGTGTAACTTACCGCCACGTTTGTAGTTTGTGAGATATCAGGTGAGGATCTAAATGGTGCTTTAGTGTTTAAAGCAGATGCAGCTTTATTACAAGATTACTATTTTAAACCGGAGTCAGTTGTTTCAATCACAATGTAATCTAGTAATTTTTGAATTAACAAGGTATTCCTTTTACATTATCATGATCTAGACGCCAAAGAGATTACATAAATATTTTTTTCTTAAAAATGTAACTGTCATACATTGCACGAAATAATTACACAACTATTATGTAAATCATAAATTCATGTCCCATAGAGTATGAAATATTGTATTTAGTTTAAAGTGACTTTAGCGTGTGTATATTAACTTTATGTCGGTTAAAGGTAAATTGAAATTATTATACATAATCATTATTAATTTTAGTAACTGTTAATATGAATAATTTTACTATTATTTCTGTTTAGTTGTTATTTAGTTATCTTCCAATATCTATTAGAAGAATTATTTACGAATCATTTCAGTAATTGAAGCTCAATATATTTGCCTCCCACTATGGTTAAGAAAATGACGTTTGATTTTATAGAAGAATCATGATTTGCTAAAACCTAGTCAATTACACTACTAGGACACCCAGTAGTCTCATTAACATATGTCGTAAGTCCACTTAAAATTTCCATGAACCTGCAATTAATTAAATCATTGCACGTATGTTTGCAATAAATAACAGTTTTTAAATCCTCAAGTTTTGAATCATAAGCACAGGATTTCATGCCCTGCTAGCCTATGCAAATATGTAAGTATGTATAACGAAAGCAAAAATTTAAGAGGGTGTTGACTTTTTACAGTCTTTGATTTTGGTTTTTGTGAAACAGTCGAAGAATGCAACTATTTGTATAAACATAAACGCACAAAAATCATTCATGCAAAAATAGCTCATCGTAAGAGTGGATTGAATGGGAATTACATTTTGGTACTACACATATCTTGGGTGTCTTTGTAATTTCTGGACATAATTTTTAAGAAGAGATCCTTGGGGAATGAACACCCTATCGTTTTTGTGCGATGAAAAACTAACGGACAGTGCTAATGCGATGTCTGGTCATAACTTTTGCAGGGACCTAATAATAAAAACAGTCGGAAGTAAGAATTTGTAATGAGAACACCGTTTGAGGAGAGTCAGTACTAGCGATTGTGGGGAATCGTGCTTACCGTTTCCTTCTTCCTTCGTGCATTGTCGAGGGTCGACTGGAACCAAGACCATTGACCGAAAGGATCTTGCGTGTTATCGATCGTAGTGGCTCCCGAGCGATGCAGCATGCGGTTGTCGACTACGTTCAGCCACAAATTTGTGTTGAGGAAGATGATTCGATACTTTTCCGAGCGTTGCTCTATCGTGTAATATCCGGCTGTAACAAGTGTTTGAAATCGTCGAGTGAGTTGCCAGGAGCTTATGTTCGACTTCTCGTCTTTCCTTTCGTAATTTCCTACCCTTAACAGCAGCGCTCGGTATTATTAGCTGTTCTTATTGGAGCAGCAGAGAAGATCTCGGATATTCTTGAAATAAATTTTAAATAAGAAAGTTGTACCACAGTTAGGTGAAGGTTGTATGAGATTAATTTACAGTGTGAATTATGAATTGAAACATGTGTTAAAATCTATTGTAAAAAAGTTGCGGGATTTTATGCAAATTAATATTACATACGCATGCAATAAATGCATATAATCCGGAGACTACTTATGGCTGTTGTAACAATTATTTACTTTGTAAGTAGTTCGATAACTGCAAAAATATGTTTTAGAATTTTGTTCCATAAATGTGGAGTAACTCAGAAATAACTTGAGCTTTCCAATTTGTAATACATTAATGATAAAACTATTAATCGACATTTTATGTACAAGTTGATATTGTAATTTCAGATTGAAAATTTAGAACAGAATATCAAATTTTATCTCCGTGTTGAAAAAGTTAAAAGAGGAAAAACACTTTGTTAGAATTATTAAGAGTATTCAACATTTTTTATCGATAAAACTAGTCAAATAATTGAAAAAAGGATATAATAGTAACATATTTTGGTACTCACAGTTAAAAAAATCTTACAGCAATTCAAAACGAACATTTTGCTAAAACTTCTTTTAAACGCTATACGATCACCTTGGCAATTACATATATAAAATAATATTATAAACGATAGAAAGAAACTTGGTGTATAACCAAACAAGAGGTGAAATTACGTGTAAATAACAAATATAAAATATAGAGTAAGGTATTTTCCTATGTGAATTAGATAACAAAATTATCGTTTATGAAAATTTATCTCGTAGCTGTGATTGTCTGTTGTTAATAATTTCTCTATTCGTTGTTTATAAAAAATGACATGACATAATATTATTATTTCCCTTCAATAATCTGGTATAAATGAATAATCAGAAGCTTGTAGTACAGTCAGTAAGAGACAAATAATCAAATACCACCGTCTATACAGTGTCTCAGCTAACATGATCACCTCGAATAATGACTTAATGGTACACTTTATGAAAATGTTGAGGCATGCAGCTTAAACGGCATCAAGGGGCATTAATACCATGTACCCTCACGAGCAAACTCGGCTTCGGCTAGGGGAAAAAGTGATCTAAGGGAAAGACCTCCTACCGCTTGGTCTCGGAGTTATTGAAACTTATGCGAAATTAACATTCGGTTTAACATAGTATTTCAGTATATGTAGTAAATTTACCAAGTAGTAGGAGGCCCTAACCCCTACATTGCTTTTTCCCCTAGTGGAAGCCGAGTTTGCTCGCGGGTGTATGTATACACCTTAATTTTTTTTAACGGAATGATCTATTTTTTGTACCATAAATTTATAGAGTATCAAATTTTGAGTAAAAATGTGTTAACCTTCATACGACCTAAACCTAATAGTTAACGAGATATGTTTCGGAATGAAAATCTAAGAGACGCGTGCGTCCAAAGTAAGTAGGACAGGGCGCTCTCGCACCATACTGCGAGTCTGTCAATGATTGCGTGCGCCCAACGTCGATTTGCTAGTTTCGTCCCTGAATTTCGCGACCGTGGTGCGTTAGAGCGCGTGCGTTAACGTATTTACAGAATCTGCGCAACTCTCTTCGAACTATCGATTATCTATCGATATTTCGCGGTGATCGATATTCTTGGAACCAATCCGGCGCTTCTCTGAAAAATCCTAACGAATTTGAACAAAAACCAGTAGAAACTTCGCTGCTCACCGAGCATTCTGTCGTGAACCTTTGTAGTAATCGCAGATTTTAACAAACTTCTAATTTTTCAACTCGTGCGTTAATTATCGCAACATCACAAGTGTTATATTTATTGCTCTCGACGCTCGAGTACAATTGTGGTGAAAATCTGCGATTGGTGTAAACGATTTTCGTGGTCGCCTAGATTTTTCGTTTACGGTACTCTCGATCATCGCTTCGCGGCTCGCCAGTGCCTACCGAGTGTAATCGTGTTTTCGTGAGACATTGTTAAGACTCTTAACAATAAACTGTTCCGGCCAAACTTCACTCCGTACCCTTTTCAGGTAAAAATTACCTTTCTTGAAACATTTTAATCGACAAAACAGTTTTTATTACTCAGAAAAGGATTCCCAAATATACGGTATCATTTTAACATGTCAAGGTGATCTAATCTCTTCATGGAGTACGCGGCCACCTGGCGAATAATCAAATTAGATTCTTTCGAAAGCGATTATATCATATTTTATGCATAATACTCGAATGATCGAATTTATTATACCCTTGCACATGAAATGAGCGATTTTACTGACAAGTGTATTCACCGTTACTTTTAAGAATGAAAATTATTATCGTAGTTTCTCTCCTTATCGCAAAGTTATACAGTGTACTTTTCTCGTTTCAAAATACTGTCTGACATAAAATTAAATCAATTACATTCAACACTGAAGTTAATTAAGATGGTGAATCAATTACATTCGGCCATTTCCTCCGCGTGCAAAGATGAACATTTAAGCAAAGTTCATAAATAAACTGTATAAAGATGCATGTAAGATTCTGCTAGAAAATACTATTCAGCAATGACAATATTTAGTGTAACAAATGTTTAGTGTTTCAAATTCAATATAATAATTATGCCATGAATGTAACACACGTATTTCAATAAAAAACGTATACATATAGAGTCCGTTTAAACTTACGTTATTCCATAAAAGTCGTATAACGTTCAGTATAATATGAAGTGCCAATAATAACACAATAATTTCGTATACAACAACCTTATATTTTCCACCCATGTATCCGAGACCTTCAGCAACAGCACATCAACAGGAAAGTCGTTTCGCTGCGGGTACGAACCGTGAGCCAAAATTTCGATCTTCCGCTGAACCACACCAGTCGATTTAATCCGATTTCCGTATTTTCACGAAGGCTTGTTTACCATTACAAGACACGTATTCGCTCGCCGCATCGAGGAATTCCGTTGCGTCCGTTGCCCCTCTTCCCCAAAAAGCCGTGGCGAGGTGCACAATCAGAACGCTTCACAAGTCTACCCACCGGTTTGAAACGTGTCCAAAGCCTCCTGCGGCAGCCATTGCTGCCAGAGCACGGCCAGCTGGGAGAAGCTTACTCCTAGGTCCTCGTGTCCGAGCGCCGGAAACACAAATTGTTCCTTAAACGTGCGGGACAACAGATCGGTCAAATTCCTCAAACACTGCAGACGCAGTTCCGCGTTCATGCCAGCAGTGCGCGTCAGCGCGTCACTGCAACAAGTAGTTACACCCTCGTTAGCGCTAGTTACGTACGACGCACAGTACGGTATTTGACCAGAAAAGCTGGCCAAAACCCCAAATTTATCTTTGTTCAAAATGATTGAAACCTTGTCCTTATGTTCTTAAGAATGAATAAAAGTAAACTGCTATCTTGGTTTTTCGAAAACAGCAGTATTTAGCAAAAATTTGAGGCTTGAAAGTCAACAATTTTTGTGCCCGAAGAAGATGCCAAGAAACCTATATTAAGAAAGTGATTTATTACAAGTGTAGCGTCAAGGAAGTGCAATAACAACATATGTAGGATATAGAGGAAGGTATGTAGAGTAATTTGGCACCTTGTTTCCATCACTTTTTTGTGTGGTTTTGATAAAATAATAATTTGAAAACAGTGTTTTTTTTCGTAAAATCAAGTATGAAACATTGAATTAATTTTTTGCACCCCAATGCACCCCTTTACTTTTTATATATTCTTATTCTTGGACATTGCTTTATATATTTCTTGAAAAATTAGGTGCTAAGAAGTGCTAAAACTACAGTTCTGTTCAAAAGTATCTCTTCACTTGTGCACTAGTGAAAAATTATTGAGATTCAATGTTCCATAACTTTGTTAATATTCGTCAGAATTCGTTTACACAGAAGGAAAATTAACGCTTAAAACTTCTACTTTTTAATTCCTTTGTTCGATTTTATTTAACTCAGTGCCCAAGAGGTAAAATCTTCCTTATAAAGAGGGCCTTCAAATTGTAAGATTTTGTTCATATTTGAGAACGGATGTTCCTGATAGACAACAGTGTTCGGCATTTTGCAGGTATTTCAGAAATAATGATCCTTTGCCTTTAAAACAAGCCACATTTCATCCAAAACGGATGCCTTTTAACAAAGGTATAGTCATTTACCATAACGAAGCCACATTCATTTACCATATGAAACCATAAAGAGGCAGACGTTTCTGTAAATGGCCATAACTTCGTTAAAAAACATCCGTTTTGAATGCAGTTTAGCTTGTTATGAAGGCAAAGGATCATACGATAGGCGTATATTGTATGGTTGATCTGATGGTGGGGTAATTGAGGTGTGGATGATAGATCGATGAAGGACAGATATATTATAAGCAAGAAATACTGTCTGATGAAGAATCTTGCAACAGCATTTTCTGACGAAAATTAATTCTATTATATATTGCAAATAAAAACTATTCTTAAAATATATATTATTTTATATATTATATACCATAAATCAGAATGTTTATGATCGTAGATACAATCGACCCACGTGCATCCATCGCTGTCAGTTGATTGTTAACCTATTAAGTAAATTTCGTCTGTCAATTCCTGACGATTTAAGTTTTTAGTATGTTATTAATTTTATTAGGACTAGGGTTTGTTGATGACCTTCTATTATATGTATACATATATTATACCATATGTATACGTACACATATCTTACCGTACACAAAACATTTTAAAAATATCGGTTTCCTTTAAAGGGCTGTATCTTTGTTAAACAACATAGTTCTTCGACGAGGTTTGGTTTATTTTAAGAACAAACGATCATACTTTCCGGTGGTATATATCAAAATTGCAAAAAAGTATTGTTTGCACTCCGTAGCACTTGACGAATATCAAGGAAAAGTACAGTTTGGCACACTCTTATTGAAGGGTAAATTTTACCCTCTAGACAACCATTTTGATAAAATTTATTTAAAGACCCAAAAACTAGAGAGTTCAAACGTTAAAATGGTTTTTATTTCATCGATTTGGATGAATAGTAACAAAGTTATGAGATTTTGAATATTGAGTAAATTTTAAAATAGTTTTGGCCAGCTTTTCGGGTCAAATACCCCATTGTGCGACGTGGGGCTGCGGGAATTACTCGGATTCGCTAGTGAACACGAAGAAACGATAATACACGCGGTACGCGTATGCAAAGGTGTCGCTAAAACTTTATCGACAGATCCTGGAATTTCGTGGGACGGATATTCCGCGGCACAATTGGAACGGAGGAATTTTAATTTATACTGAAAGTTTAAGACATTACCAATTGGCTGAAATATTATAAGATTGATGTGATTTCGTATGATATCTAGTAGGAGCTTCATTGGCCAGATTGGACAGGTGATATGATGTTCGGATAATAGAATGATTCAGTTAACACTGTTCAACAAATTACTGAATGATGGAACTAAACTTGGTTTTTCGTGTTAATTACAGGTTGCTGAACACGATACTGGTTTCAGTTTTTGCCCTACACTTCACAAAGTCTAGCTTTTTAAGCATCTAGTTAGCACTATTCAGTTTGATTTATTTCTTGAATTATTCAACTGGTACAATATTTCTGACTTTATTTCTGTCGTATTTAACAAATAATAATAAAGATAATAATTACTTTAAGTATAATATAAATATAGGATGTAAATGTTTAATTTCATGAATATTTTTATTAGCTTGGACAAGTACTTCAACAAGTAGTCCCATGTACTACAAGGTTTCGACAAATAGTGACAACTACAAGGTCCGTTGACATTCGTATTTTCTTTATCTCACAAACACACACATACACACACACACTGTCTCTTAATTCATATTTATCGTATTTCCTGTTTTTATAGCAAAAATTTGACAGTTATAAATATTACTTATTGCGTTCAAAAGTAGAAATTACATGTTTTTAACATTTCCACATTTACAAATAAAGTTGAAACATTCTTACGTGGAGGGTCGAAAATGAGATTATCATTATATTCAACAATTCAGAATCAAGTAAATAGAGCCAGTTTCACTCCATCACATCAGAATTTTCAAAATTTTGTTGTACAGTGTAATCAACCCTGCAATCTGTTTATGCAACTGTTACGTATAGAGAATAATTTTCATTTTTCAATTGTATTCAACCGCGCGCCTGGCAACGAAAAACGTCCTAAAACTCCGTCTGTTTAATCCTCAAGTAATAGAGGGAACGTAATCTCGTGCAACTGGATAACAACCAAAGACAGAATCATGATTGAATCGCAACCGCTAAGATTTCCTTATATGAACATTCTAATGAAACCTCCACCCTGTTTTAGGACTATATAAATCTTCTGATTTAATCCTCTGTGGGCCAGAATAGTACAGTTATTTGTAGAATCACCACGTATTATACCCGATAAAGAGTCAGTTTTATCCAGTGAGATCGGGCTTAAGTATCCTTTCGAATTATTAGTTAACCTTATAGAATCCGTGAGTTCAGTTGAAGTTCTATTCGGTAGTTATTTAAAACGGCTCTTATCCCCGCATTACCAACGCGTTAACACCGAGCATTCAATTGGTAATATTACATTAATACTTTACCGCGACAACACCACACTACACATATTTATACCAAAGACTGATTATGTAATATTCAAGTGATATTCTTTAATAAACGTAAGTAATGTCATTTCTTAAAATTCATTGGTTTGGTAATTATTAGAGTCGAAGTTGACCGTTGAAACATCCATTCAAACATCCTAGCAGCACTTTGACTTCGCGGCAGATTCGTCCGTGCACCTTATTAACAAACTGATAACCATATTCTTTGGAAAACCTACACTTGCCGGCCTTTCGCGCTGCTCGCGATCCTGGCTCGTAACACAAGAATGAATATTTTCGTATTATGCGTGGAATATACAGTGGGTTTAATTTAACGTTATCCATAATTGACATAAATAATCAAAATCTGCGAAACTGTGGGAGGCAATTTGAAAAACAAATATTTCAATGAATTTGGAATAAACAACTCGTTACTTTTTGTTCTTATGTAAACTTGAATAAGTTGTAAAATAAACTTGTAAATAATTTTGTTGTTATAAACAAATTATATTTTGGACAATTTGTTAGCACCATATTATTCTATATAAAAAACCGCAAACCTCGTCCATTAGAAGTTTTTATGTATCTCCTCTGGTTTTCGAGATAGTACTTTCGAGTCGAAACTTCGAGGGGTCGTTTCACCCCTTAAAGTCGCGTCTTAGTCGATAAAAAAATACGTATCCCTTATTTTTGACTGCTTAACAGACATACGAAGTTTCATCATAATCGCAGGGGAACACTTTCGTGCCTTCCCTTGTAAGTGTAAATTCTTCAGACAAAACATGAGATGTCTAACAGCTTTAGATTCCAATGAAAATACTTGCGGATTATTATTTTTTAAAATAAATGATAACTGATGAACTTTTACACATTTACATCGCATTTAAAACTATATGTACATATTACGCAATGACAAAGAATCCAGAGGTAATGTGAAATTCCATATTTAAGTGATCCACTTATCGGACCCACTGGGACATTTAGGGATATTAAAAACGTTTGTTCGATTCTCCAATTAGTTTCGCAATATTTGTTACTTTCCGTTCTTATTTCTTTCCCGAATCTCAAGACCTCTATTCCCGTGCTACACAAGAATGCTTTCCGAAGAACTAATCTAAATTGAAAATACCGTATGATTTATGCATACCTATTTGAAGCACGGGCTGAAAGTTTCCAGTGTCGAACGGTATGAATCGCGAAAAGTAAGTTGAGGAACCGTAGATATTGCGTTTTCGCACATGTCACTGAGAATTAATTGGTAACCACGTTCCAACCAAGAAACTAAGAAACTTTAAGTTCCAAGGAAAGTTTAGAAGTTCGTAATCTGATTTACTAGAACATTGTTGGAAGATTCGATTGATCTAGCTCGTTTATAGAGGACATTTGAGACTTATCAGTATTCTTTTATTAACCTTCGATTCTACATTATTAAAATAAATTTTACCAGATGTAAAAAAAAATGGTCAGTAGACTGCAGATTTCATGTAGAGGGTGTACAAAAATTAATGGTCACGGCTTTAGGGAATGAATTTACGCTGCATCGGTGAACATTTTTAAAGAAGACGCCAAAAAATTGTTTCCGACATTCTAAATTAATGTTAGATTTTTTTTTACAGCAACATGTTCTATTCACCAACAGCAGGGAAAGTTCAAAAACAGTTA